TTTGCGGTTGAGAGCACCAGGTGTTAAAGTGTTGTTAGGGGAACCCCCTCTTCTGATCGGGTCTCGAGGTTGCCCTTACAAGTGTGGAAAGGATGTCTTGCTTGGTTCAGACAAAAGAGTGTTACTTAGCTATGTGACCATCAGTACATAGCCCTAGATCAATGTGACAGACTGGGCTTTTTGCCTCCCATCTGTGCCCCTAGCCTCCTGTGGCTCCCATCTGTGTTTTCTGTGTTCAACACCGGGCCGGTGTCATAAGGTGAAATCGAATTCTGCCAATTCTGTGATCCATCGTGCTTGTTGTCGGTTGAGCTTTTGTGGCTTCCGGAAGTACTCAAGGTTTTGATAATCGGTGAAGATCTTAAACGTTTCCATGGCTCCCAGTAGTAGCTGCCTCCATGTTGAAGCAGAAAATGTAGAGAGGACTGGAGTCAACAGTAAGAAGCTCTGCATTACAAGACAAGACAAGAAAAGAATCTACAGACCTGGAGTCAACAGTAAGAAGCTGAAGAACTCCAGGGAGGAAGGAACTATCTATGTGGATGGAGCATGTGACTGTACAGGAATCATGTGACTTGGAGTCATGTGACCAGAATGATGGAATGATGGGAACAGTGATGGAATCAGATATCATCAGTGATGTGATCAGTGATAAGATCAGATGGAATCAGGTGATCATATAACCCAATCACCAGAGAGTGATCAAGTTCAAAACCCATCACCAACACTCCCTCAGGATGAGATCAGTCTCTTAGCCTCTCCCCTGCAATCTCATCAGTGTGCGCAACCTTGCCACCTGAGGCTGAGGCAGCGCCTTGGTCATAATGTCAGCCAGCTGGTCCTGCGTTGGCACATACTTCACATCAATGAACCCTCTGGCCACTTCATCTCTGAGCCAGTAGTGTGCCAGGTCCAGATGTTTCATACGCCCATGGTGTTCAGGATTCTTGGACACAGATATGGCAGACTGGTTGTCCATCATCAAGAGAGAAGCCCCAGACACACCATGCTCCAGCTCGTGCAGCAGATTCCGCATCCACTTGATCTCCTTCCCAGCATCCACACCAGCCACATACTCTGCCTCAGTAGTGGACAGAGAGATGGTGGACTGCAGCTTGCTCCTCCAGCTCACTGGTCCACCAGCCATCATAATGACATACCCTCCAGTGCTTTTCATGGAGTCCTTGTCTCCAGCATGATCAGCATCAGTGAAGGTGGTGAAGAGGTCATTAGGATAGATGTGGGTGGCTGGGTCATAGAGGGTGGGAGAGGATTTGGAGTAGGTGATGCGGAAGTCAAGGGTGCCCTGGATGTATCGAAGCAGGTGTTTGACAGCCTTCCAGTGCTCTTCACCAGGATTGCTGTTGAAGCGTGCCAACACCCCCACAGCATAGGAGATGTCAGGACGAGTCTGACAGGCCAGGTACATCAGAGAGCCAACAGCAGACAGATAGTTGCCCTTGAACTGCTTGGACTCCTCCTCAGTCTTGGCTCCCATCTCCTTGGTCAGAGACAGGCCAGGCAGCATGGAGGTGTCCACAGGCTTGCAGTCAGCCATGCCATACTGCTCCAGGAGATTCACAGCATACTGGCGCTGGGAGATGCTGATGTCTCCAGTGTGCTCATCACGCTCTATCTTGATCCCCAGAAGCCACTCTTGTTGATGTGTGGATATTGGGTGTGCTTGGTTCGGACAAAGGGTGTGACAATACTCTGTGACGCATAGTATATAGCATCAGATCAATGTGACCTACTGGGCTTTTCGCCTCCCATCTGTGCCCCTAGCCTCCTGCGGCTCCCATCTGTGTTTTCTGTGTTTTCTGTGTTCAACAACTCTGTAGGACCCAGATCCCGCACCTTAAAGGCCGTACCCAGCTGGGCAATAACCTTGTCAATATCAGCATCATGCTTTGCAGCAATGGTGCCATCATCAACGTAGATGGGCAGGATCACGCGCACCACACCATCAGAGTAGGTTTGGCAGGAGCTGTCTGACTTGATGCACTTGAACCCCATGGCAGTCAGCTTGGCAACCAACTTGATGCGCCACTGGCGGCCAGCCTGCTTCAGCCCATAGATGGACCGGTTCAGCTTCAGGACCTGGCCCTTCTCTCCCTGAGGGAACCCTTCCGGCTAAGTCATGTAGACATCCTCATCCAGGTCACCATTGAGGTAGGCAGAAGAGAAGTCAATGGAGCGCAACTTGAGGTTGTTCTGGGCAGCCAGAGCAAGGATGACATGCAGAGTAGCAGGTCGGAAGGTGGGGGCAAACACCTCGTGGTAGTCAATGCCATAGCGCTGGCCACGACCATCTGCCACGAGTCTGGCTGTGTAGCGTTCCACAGTGCCATCAGACTTGTGTTTGATTACAAACACCCATTGAGAGCGGATTGGCTTGACCCCTTGTGGCAAGTCAACCACATCCCATGTGCAGTTGCTGAGCAGAGAGTCAATCTCAGATGCAGCTGCAGCGCGCCATAATGGACCATCCTCCCGCTTGGACGCTTCAAAGAACGACCTGGGGTTCCCAGAGGCTACAGCAGACAACACGGACTGCACTGCAGTAGCGTGAGCTGCTGCCAGCTTGGGATCTGAGGGGTCACCCTCGCGAGCCACAATGAGGGCGGAGGATGACTTCAGAAGCAGCTCATCGTCACTGAGGTCTTCAGGGATCTCTTCAAAGATCTCTGCCATGGTGCGCCTGGGAGGAGCAGCAGCCGGAGCTGGAGCCCTCCTGGGTGGTGCAGGGACACGATGGATGCCAGCAGCAGCACGACGAGCTGCCACCCCAATTGGAGATTGGGGAGGAGGAGGCGAGGGTGGAGGGTGAAGCGGGGCATCCCCAGCTGGTGGTGGAGATGGAGGTGGTGGAGCTCGACGTAGAAAGTTGATTTCATCATCACTGCTGGCTGCAGGAGAGGGAACTCGAGGTGCAGGGAGAGGACGAGCAGGCGGCTGTTGCTGCTCATCATCACCATCGTCATCAGGGACATACACCGGTGCCGGAGCACGAGGGGGATCCACCAGCATGGAAGAGGGGGGTGCCGCAGGACAGCTCCTCATAGCTTGAGGGGTGCTGCCTGGGAAGTAGCGCTCATCAAACACTGCTCTCTCAGCGATCACGAGTTTCCGAGTCTCTGGGTTGAAGAACAACCATCCCTTGTACCCTGCAGGATAGCCTACAAAGATACACTTCTGGACATGATGCCCAGAAGAACCTCTCTTGTCTCTTTGCACATGCACATAGGCAAGGCATCCCCAAACACGAAGATGAGACACATCAGGCTTTGCCTTGAACCACAGCTCATGGGGAGTCCTGGTGGGGTCTCAAGCGGTGGGGTGCATGTTGCACACATGCATGTATGCAGACACCGCCAGTGCCCTGAATGCAGGGGGCAGGTTGGCTTCGTGTAACATGGCAGTTGAGTGCTCATCAACGGTGCGGTTAGACCGCTCTGCTGTCCCATTCTGCTGAGGCCGTGCCCTGACTGAATGGCGGTGCACAATGCCACACTTGTCCAGATGTGCTCTGAACTCATTAGACATGTACTCTCCCCCTTTATCGTCCTGGAATGCCTTGATCTTGAGCCCCCAGTGAGTCTCAGCATAGGGTTGAAACATCTTAAGGGCTGCGAATGTCTCACTCTTGTTCTTAATGTGGTATGCTACCTTGAAGCCAGTGTGATCATCAACAAAAGTTACCCTGTGCTTCCAGCCCTCGCGGGTGGGCACAGAGTAGCTCTTTAGATCAGAGTGAATAATATCAAGAGGCGCTCCAGAACAATGACCAGTTGAAGGAAACAGGCCAGCATTCAGCTTGCCAAAGAGGCATGGCTCACAGATAGGGTCTGGCTTCCTAGCAGAGGCAAGCCTCACACCAGTAACCAGCTCTTTATCCATGACTAGCTTGGTATCACTGTGGTGTCCAAGCCGCCTGTGCATCAGGCTGAGGTCAATGGGAAGAGTCCCAGCTGTAGAAACCAGTGCTGAACCAGCAGAAGGGAAACCATGTTGAGGATGGGTTTTGGACTTGATCACTCTCTGGTGATTGGGTCACATGATCATCTGATTCCATCTGATCTTATCACTGATCACATCACTGATGATATCTGATTCCATCACTGTTCCCATCATTCCATCATTCTGGTCACATGATTCCTATACAGTCACATGCTCTATCCACATAAATAGTTCCTCCCTCCCTGGAGTTCTTCAGCTTCTTACTGTTGACTCCAGGTCTGTAGATTCTTTTCTTGTCTTGTCTTGCAATGCAGAGCTTCTTACTGTTGACTCCAGTCCTCTCTGCATTTCCTGCTTCAACAGGTTATGGGCCCCTGCCTCTAGAGTGCCTCTGAGTCATCTATTCTGAGATTTTCGAGTTTTTTCCATTCTCTGATTTTCTCTGCCTGCTGCTGCCTGCTTGCCCCAGTCCTGCTACTGCAGTTGACATCTCTGCTCCCCTCTATTCTGTTTTTTTCTGCTCTTATAGTGTCTGTGGTTCAGGCACTAGTAGTTGGGACTCTATCCTTAAGTGGGTGTGCTCTTTGGTCCATCAGGAAACACCAGGTAGTCATTTCTGTGATTCTGAGGTTGAGACAGCTAGGTGCCTGAGATCAACACACTCCTGAGATACTGTAGCTACATACATAGATCCCCTACATCATTCTGGGCGCATTTTTGAGCACAGCATGGCATCAAATTCCCACTCTCATCCATCAGTCTTTTCTCCTTCTGCTGCCCTGGCAGCTGCACCTGCTTCTGCTCAGCCATTGTGTTATGCCTGTTATCAACATGGCCACACACTCCTAAAATGCCCAGAGTTTCTGTCTCTCCTAGAGGACAATGCTTCTGAGCCTGAGCCAGAGCCTGAGCCTGTGCCTAGGCCTAGGCCCAGAAAGGGTGCAGTCAAGTCTGAAGTGACCACTCATACAAGCCTTCTCTCCCACTCCACTGCGGACCCTGAGTTGAGATGGATTGCAGATTCTGGTGCTACATCACACATGACCCATTGTGTGCACCTGCTGCAGAACACTCGTCCTCACAGGGCACCCATCAGAGTGGCTAATGGACTTGTGGTCTATTCAGAGCTTGTGGGGGAGATAGTGCTTAGGCCACTGATTCATGGACATGCCAGGAGCCGGTCTGTGATCCTCTCCAATGTGCTCTATGTCCCTGCTCTGTCTCACAATCTGATCTCCACTACATACCTGTCAGTTCACCATGACTACACTGTGCTTATGAAGGAGAACTACATCCTGTTCAAGCGCAATGGTGAAGTGTACTTTGTGGCAGACATCTCAGAGCAGGGTCAGGCATTTGTGAGAGAGACTGGTTTGTTGAAGCAGGAAATGCAGAGAGGACTGGAGTCAACAGTAAGAAGCTCTGCATTGCAAGACAAGACAAGAAAAGAATCTACAGACCTGGAGTCAACAGTAAGAAGCTGAGGAACTCCAGGGAGGGAGGAACTATCTATGTGGATGGAGCATGTGACTGTACAGGAATCATGTGATCAGAAGTCATGTGACCAAAATGATGGAATGATGGGAACAATGATGGAATCAGATATCATCAGTGATGTGATCAGTGATAAGATCAGATGGAATCAGGTGATTATGTGACCCAATCACCAGAGAGTGATCAAGTCCAAAACCCATCACCAACATGAAGGTGGGTGCAAACACCTCATGGTAGTCAATGCCATAGCGCTGGCCACGACCATCTGCCACGAGTCTGGCTTTGTAGCGTTCCACAGTGCCATCAGACTTGTGTTTGATCACAAACACCCATTGAGAGCGAATTGGCTTGACCCCTTGTGGCAAGTCGACCACATCCCATGTGCAGTAACTGAGCAGAGAGTCAATCTCAGATGCAGCTGCAGCGCGCCATAGTGGACCATCCTCCCGCTTGGACGCTTCAAAGAACGACCTGGGGTTCCCAGAGGCTATGGCAGACAACGCGGACTGCACTGCAGTAGCGTGAGCTGCTGCCAGCTTGGGATCTGAGGGGTCACCCTCGCGAGCCACAATCAGGGCTGAGGATGACTTCAGAAGCAGCTCATCGTCACTGAGGTCTTCAGGGATCTCTTCAAAGATCTCTGCCATGGTGCGCCTGGGAGCAGCAGCAGCCGGAGCTGGAGCCCTCCTGGGTGGTGCAGGGACACGATGGATGCCAGCAGCAGCACGACGAGCTGCCACCCCAATTGGAGATTGGGGAGGAGGAGGCGAGGGTAGAGGGTGAAGCGGGGCATCCCCAGCTGGTGGTGGAGCTCGACGTAGAAAGTCGATTTCTGTTGAACACACAAAACACAGATGGGAGCCGCAGGAGGCTAGGGGCACAGATGGGAGGCGAAAAGCCTAGTCTGTCACATTGATCTAGGGCTATGTACTGATGGTCACATAGCTAAGTAACACTCTTTTGTCTGAACCAAGCAAGACATCCTTTCCACACTTCAACACTCCCACCCTTGGGAAGACAAAACCAATCAAACAGAACACTCCCACCAAATCCAAGGCCACTCCCACCCAATCTAAGTCCGTCTTGGAGACAGGAATGGTTCACTAGGCCCTCCACCAATCTCTGTTGAAGCAGGAAATGCAGAGAGGACTGGAGTCAACAGTAAGAAGCTCTACATTGCAAGACAAGACAAGAAAAGAATCTACAGACCTGGAGTCAACAGTAAGAAGCTGAAGAACTCCAGGGAGGCAAGAACTATCTATGTGGATGGAGCATGTGACTGTATAGGAATCATGTGACTTGGGATCATGTGACCAGAATGATGGAATGATGGGAACAATGATGGAATCAGATATCATCAGTGATGTGATCAGTGATAGGATCAGATGGAATCAGATGATCATGTGACCCAATCACCAGAGAGTGATCAAGTCCAAAACCCATCCTCAACACTCCCCCGGGATGAGATCAGTCTCTCAGCCTCTCCCCCGCAATCTCATCAGTGTGCGCAACCTTGCCACCTGAGGCCGAGGCAGCGCCTTGGTCATAATGTCAGCCAGCTGGTCCTGTGTTGGCACATACTTCACATCAATGAACCCTCTGGCCACTTCATCTCTGAGCCAGTAGTGTGCCAGGTCCAGATGCTTCATACGCCCATGGTGTTCAGGATTCTTGGACACAGAAATGGCAGACTGGTTGTCCATCATCAAGGGAGAAGCCCCAGACACACCATGCTCCAGCTCATGCAGCAGATTCCGCATCCACTTGATCTCCTTCCCAGCATCCACACCAGCCACATACTCTGCCTCAGTGGTGGACAGAGAGATGGTGGACTGCAGCTTGCTCCTCCAGCTTACTGGTCCACCAGCCATCATAATGACATACCCCCCAGTGCTTTTCATGGAGTCCTTGTCTCCAGCATGATCAGCATCAGTGAAGGTGGTGAAGAGGTCGTCAGGATGGATGTGGGTGGCAGGGTCATAGAGGGTGGGAGAGGATTTGGAGTAGGTAATGCGGAAGTCAAGGGTGCCCTGGATGTATCGAAGCAGGTGCTTGACAGCCTTCCAGTGCTCTTCACCAGGATTGCTGTTGAACCTTGCCAACACCCCCACAGCATAGGAGATGTCAGGACGAGTCTGACAGGCCAGGTACATCAGAGAGCCAACAGCAGACAGATAGTTGCCTTTGAACTGCTTGGACTCCTCCTCAGTCTTGGCTCCCATCTCCTTGGTCAGAGACAGGCCAGGCAGCATAGGGGTGTCCACAGGCTTGCAGTCAGCCATGCCATACTGCTCCAGGAGATTCACAGCATACTGGCGCTGGGAGATGCTGATGTCTCCAGTGTGCTCATCACGCTCTATCTTGATCCCCAGAAGCCACTCTGTGGGACCCAGATCCCGCACCTTGAAGGCCGTACCCAGCTGAGCAATGACCTTGTCAATGTCAGCATCATGCTTTGCAGCAATGGTGCCATCATCTACATAGATGGGCAGGATCACGCGCACCACACCATCAGAGTAGATGTGGCAGGAGCTGTCAGACTTGATGCACTTGAACCCCATGGCAGTCAGCTTGGCAACCAACTTGATGCGCCACTGGCGGCCAGCCTGCTTCAGCCCATAGATGGACCGGTTCAGCTTCAGGACCTGGCCCTTCTCTCCCTGGGGGAACCCTTCTGGCTGAGTCATGTAGACATCCTCATCCAGGTCCCCATTGAGGTAGGCAGAAGAGAAGTCGATGGAGCGCAACTTGAGGTTGTTCTGGGCAGCGAGGGCAAGGATGACGCGCAGAGTAGCAGGTCTGAAGGTGGGGGCAAACACCTCGTGGTAGTCAATGCCATAGCGCTGGCCACGACCATCTGCCACGAGTCTGGCTTTGTAGCGTTCCACAGTGCCATCAGACTTGTGTTTGATCACAAACACCCATTGAGAGCGAATTGGCTTGACCCCTTGTGGCAAGTCGACCACATCCCATGTGCAGTTGCTGAGCAGAGAGTCAATCTCTGAAGCAGCTGCAGCGCGCCATAGTGGACCATCCTCCCGCTTGGACGCTTCAAAGAACGACCTGGGGTTCCCAGAGGCTACAGCAAACAACACGGACTGCACTGCAGTAGCGTGAGCTGCTGCCAGCTTAGGATCTGAGGGGTCACCCTCGCGAGCCACAATGAGGGCTGAGGATGACTTCAGAAGCAGCTCATCGTCACTGAGGTCTTCAGGGATCTCTTCAAAGATCTCTGCCATGGTGCGCCTGGAAGGAGCAGCAGCCGGAGCTGGAGCCCTCCTAGGTGGTGCAGGGACACGATGGATGCCAGCAGCAGCACGACGAGCTGCCACCCCAATAGGAGATTGGGGAGGAGGAGGCGAGGGTGGAGGGTGAAGCGGGGCATCCCCAGCTGGTGGTGGAGATGGAGGTGGTGGAGCTCGACGTAGAAAGTCAATTTCATCATCACTGCTGGCTGCAGGAGAGGGAACTCGTGGTGCAGGGAGAGGACGAGCAGGCGGCTGTTGCTGCTCATCGTCACCATTGTCATCAGGGACATACACCGGTGCCGGAGCACGAGGGGGATCCACCAGCATGGAGGAGGGGGGTGCCGCAGGACAGCTCCTCATAGCTTGAGGGGTGCTGCCTGGGAAGTAGCGCTCATCAAACACTGCTCTCTCAGCGATAACGAGTTTCCGAGTCTCTGGGTTGAAGAACAACCATCCCTTGTACCCTGCAGGATAGCCTACAAAGATACACATCTGGACATGATGTCCAGAAGGACCTCTCTTGTCTCTTTGCACATGCACATAGGCAAGGCATCCCCAAACACGAAGATGAGACACATCAGGCTTTGCCTTGAACCACAGCTCATGGGGAGTCCTGGTGGGGTCTCGAGCTGTGGGGTGCATGTTGCACACATGGATGTATGCAGACACCGCCAGTGCCCTGAATGCAGGGGGCAGATTGGCTTCGTGTAACATGGCAGTGGAGTGCTCATCAACGGTGCGGTTAGACCGCTCTGCTGTTCCATTCTGCTGAGGCCGCGCCCTGACTGAATGGCGGTGCACAATGCCACACTTGTCCAGATGTGCTCTGAACTCATTAGACATGTACTCTCCCCCTTTATCGTCCTGGAATGCCTTGATCTTCAGCCCCCAGTGAGTCTCAGCATAGGCTTGAAACATCTTAAGGGCTGCAAAGGTCTCACTCTTGTTCTTCATGTGGTATGCTACCTTGAAGCCAGTGTGATCATCAACAAAAGTCACCCTGTGCTTCCAGCCCTCGCGGGTGGGCACAGAGTAGCTCTTTAGATCAGAGTGAATCAGATCAAGAGGCGCTCCAGAACGATGACCAGTTGAAGGAAACAGGCCAGCATTCAGCTTGCCAAAGAGGCATGGCTCACAGATGGGGTCTGGCTTCCTGGCAGAGGCAAGCCTCACACCAGTAACTAGCTCTTTATCCATGACCAGCTTGGTATCACTGTGGTGTCCAAGCCGCCTGTGCATCAGGCTGAGGTCAATGGGAAGAGTCCCAGCTGTAGAGACCAGTGCTGAACCAGCAGAAGGGAAACCAGTCTCTCTCACAAATGCCTGGCCCTGCTCTGAGATATCTGCCACAAAGTACACTTCACCATTGCGCTTGAACAGGATGTAGTTCTCCTTCATGAGCACAGTGTAGTCATGGTGAACTGACAGGTATGTAGTGGAGATCAGATTGTGTGACAGAGCAGGGACATAGAGCACATTGGAGAGGATCACAGACCGGCTCCTGGCATGTCCATGGATCAGTGGCCTAAGCACTATCTCCCCCACAAGCTCTGAATAGACCACAAGTCCATTAGCCACTCTGATGGGTGCCCTGTGAGGACGAGTGTTCTGCAGCAGGTGCACACAATGGGTCATGTGTGATGTAGCACCAGAATCTGCAATCCATCTGAGCTCAGGGTCTGCAGTGGAGTGGGAGAGAAGGCTTGTATGAGTGGCCACTTCAGACTTGACTGCACCCTTTCTAGGCCTAGGCCTAGGCTTAGGCTCAGGCTCAGGCTCTGGCTCAGGCTCAGAAGCATTGTCCTCTAGGAGAGACAGAAACTCTGGGCATTTTAGGAGTGTGTGGCCATGTTGATAACAGGCATAACACAATGGCTGAGCAGAAGCAGGTGCAGCTGCCAGGGCAGCAGAAGGAGAAAAGACTGATAGATGAGAGTGGGAATTTGATGCCATGCTGTGCTCAAAAATGCGCCCAGAATGATGGAGGGGATCTATGTATGTAGCTACAGGCTCTCAGGAGTGTGTTGATCTCAGGCACCTAGCTGTCTCAACCTCAGGATCACAGGAATGACTACCTGGTGTTTCCTGATGGACCAAAGAGCACACCCACTTAAGGATAGAGTCCCAACTACTAGTGCCTGAACCACAGACACTGTAAGAGCAGAAGAAAAAACAGAACAGAGAGGAGCAGAGATGTCAACTGCAGTAGCAGGACTGGGGCAAGCAGGCAGCAGCAGGCAGAGAAAATCAGAGAATGGAAAAAAAACTCGAAAATCTCAGAATAGATGACTCAGAGGCACTCTAGAGGCAGGGGCCCATAACCTGTTGAAGCAGGAAATGCAGAGAGGACTGGAGTCAACAGTAAGAAGCTCTACATTGCAAGACAAGACAAGAAAAGAATCTACAGACCTGGAGTCAACAGTAAGAAGCTGAAGAACTCCAGGGAGGCAAGAACTATCTATGTGGATGGAGCATGTGACTGTATAGGAATCATGTGACTTGGGATCATGTGACCAGAATGATGGAATGATGGGAACAATGATGGAATCAGATATCATCAGTGATGTGATCAGTGATAGGATCAGATGGAATCAGATGATCATGTGACCCAATCACCAGAGAGTGATCAAGTCCAAAACCCATCCTCAACAATCTCCGCTTCATTGAACATCTGGAACTCATCCCACATCTCAAAGAAGCTCTCCCTGGTCAGACCTGCCTCCAGTGCAGCAGAGAAAGCTGCAGAAGCAGAGCTGCTCTTGCCATTAGCCAGGATCCAGTCCTTCACAAAGGTGGGCATGGTATGCATGCACTTGTGAGCGATGTGGCCAGTGCGTCCACAGCGATGGCAGCCCCTGGTGGTAGGGTCACACCAACGAAAACCTTGGGAATCCAGCGGAAATCCGTCCTGGGCAATGCTGCCAGTGATGGGGGAGGTGTATGATGACGTGGCAGATGCTGTGCCTCAACGTGGCGCCGATGCAGCCGGGGCCAGGCTCGAAATATCGCTATCTTCGATTTTGAGAACCACCCCAGGGTCTGAGCTTGAGCTGGCAAGCTGGGTGATGCAGTCTTCGAGTTTAAGTCCAGGAGAGCGTGCAAGGAGAATGGTACAGACTGTGTGGAAGGCTGGGTGAAGATTCATGAGCAGGACATCTTTGTGGATGGTGGAATCGATGGAAACACCCATGGCAGCCGGTTTCTTCACTGCATCTCCTACAGCTCGAATGTAGACGTCTATATCCTTGGTAGGATCATGGGGGATGGAGTGCAGCTCTGCCCTGGCAGCCATCCTGGTGCTCATGCTCGATTTTTCGAAGTGGGCCTTGAGGGCAGCCCAGGCAGCAGTGGCAGACTCGAAATCATCCAGGAGGGGCTGGTACTGCTCCTCTATCTTGGTGTAGAGGTAGGGGAGGAGCATCCTGTCCAGGGCAACTTGGTCAGACTCATCTGCTTTTGGCCCTTTCCCCATAACCCAAAGTGCGTCCACTCCCAGCAAAAACACCTTGAAACCCTTCCCAAACTTGGCCCAGTTGTCCTTCCCCAGCATAGGAACAGTGGTGAGAACGATGGTGAGGGCTGAGGTGATAGTAGGCGCCATGGTGGTGCAGGGGGAAGCGGTAGGAGCGTCGGGGAAACCCGGAACAGAGGGGAGAAGCAAAAAGAGCGAAAAAAGAGCGAAAAATGCGCAGAGGGAGCAAGGAAGAGGGTAGATGGATAGGTCAGGGCGGGGCCCATAACCTGTTGAACACAGAAAACACAGATGGGAGCCGCAGGAGGCTAGGGGCACAGATGGGAGGCAAAAAGCCCAGTCTGTCACATTGATCTAGGGCTATGTACTGATGGTCACATAGCTAAGTAACACTCTTTTGTCTGAACCAAGCAAGACATCCCTTCCACACTTCAACAATTTCATCATCACTGCTGGCTGCAGGAGATGGAACTCGTGGTGCAGGGAGAGGATGAGCAGGCGGCTGTTGCTGCTCATCATCACCATTGTCATCAGGGACATACACCAGTGCCGGAGCACGAGGGGGATCCACCAGCATGGAGGAAGGGGGTGCCGCAGGACAGCTCCTCATAGCTTGAGGGGTGCTGCCTGGGAAGTAGCGCTCATCAAACACTGCTCTCTCAGCGATCACGAGTTTCCGGGTCTCTGGGTTGAAGAACAACCATCCCTTGTACCCTGCAGGATAGCCTACAAAGATACACTTCTGGACATGGTGACCAGAAGGACCTCTCTTGTCTCTTTGCACATGCACATAGGCAAGGCATCCCCAAACACGAAGATGAGACACATCAGGCTTTGCCTTGAACCACAGCTCATGGGGAGTCCTGGTGGGGTCTCGAGCTGTGGGGTGCATGTTACACACATGGATGTATGCAGACACCGCCAGTGCCCTGAATGCAGGGGGCAGGTTGGCTTCGTGTAACATGGCAGTCGAGTGCTCATCAACGGTGCGGTTAGACCGCTCTGCTGTCCCATTCTGCTGAGGCCGTGCCCTGACTGAATGGCGGTGCACAATGCCACACTTGTCCAGATGTGCTCTGAACTCATTAGACATGTACTCTCCCCCTTTATCTATTGAAGCAGGAAATGCAGAGAGGACTGGAGTCAACAGTAAGAAGCTCTGCATTGCAAGACAAGACAAGAAAAGAATCTACAGACCTGGAGTCAACAGTAAGAAGCTGAAGAACTCCAGGGAGGAAGGAACTATCTATGTGGATGGAGCATGTGACTGTACAGGAATCATGTGACTTGGAGTCATGTGACCAGAATGATGGAATGATGGGAACAGTGATGGAATCAGATATCATCAGTGATGTGATCAGTGATAAGATCAGATGGAATCAGGTGATCATATAACCCAATCACCAGAGAGTGATCAAGTTCAAAACCCATCACCAACACTCCCCCGGGATGAGATCAGTCTCTCAGCCTCTCCCCCGCAATCTCATCAGTGTGCGCAACCTTGCCACCTGAGGCCGAGGCAGCGCCTTGGTCATAATGTCAGCCAGCTGGTCCTGTGTCGGCACATACTTCACATCAATGAACCCTCTAGCCACTTCATCTCTGAGCTAGTAGTGTGCCAGGTCCAGATGTTTCATACGCCCATGGTGTTCAGGATTCTTGGACACAGATATGGCAGACTGGTTGTCTATCATCAAGGGTGAAGCCCCAGACACACCATGCTCCAGCTCGTGCAGCAGATTCCGCATCCACTTGATCTCCTTCCCAGCATCCACACCAGCCACATACTCTGCCTCAGTGGTGGATAGAGAGCTGGTGGACTGCAGCTTGCTCCTCCAGCTCACTGGTCCACCAGCCATCATGATAACATACCCTCCAGTGCTTTTCATGGAGTTCTTGTCTCCAGCATGATCAGCATCAGTGAAGGTGGTGAAGAGGTCGTTAGGATAGATGTGGGTGGCTGGGTCATAGAGGGTGGGCGAGGATTTGGAGTAGGTGATGCGGAAGTCAAGGGTGCCCTGGATGTATCGAAGCAGGTGCTTGACAGCCTTCCAGTGCTCTTCACCAGGATTGCTGTTGAAGCGTGCCAGCACCCCCACAGCATAGGAGATGTCAGGACGAGTTTGACAGGCCAGGTACATCAGAGAGCCAACAGCAGACAGATAGTTGCCTTTGAACTGCTTGGACTCCTCCTCAGTCTTGGCTCCCATCTCCTTGGTCAGAGACAGGCCAGGAAGCATGGGGGTGTCCACAGGCTTGCAGTCAGCCATGCCATACTGCTCCAGGAGGTTCACAGCATACTGGCGCTGGGAGATGCTGATGTCCCCAGTGTGCTCATCACGCTCTATCTTGATCCCCAGAAGCCACTCTGTGGGACCCAGATCCCGCACCTTGAAGGCCGTGCCAAGCTAGGCAATGACCTTGTCAATGTCAGCATCATGCTTTGCAGCAATGGTGCCATCATCAACATAGATAGGCAGGATCACGCGCACCACACCATCAGAGTAGATGTGGCAGGAGCTGTCTGACTTGATGCACTTGAACCCCATGGCAGTCAGCTTGGCAACCAACTTGATGCGCCACTGGCGGCCGGCCTGCTTCAGTCCATAGATGGACCGATTCAGTTTCAGGACCTGGCCCTTCTCTCCCTGGGGGAACCCTTCTGGCTGAGTCATGTAGACATCCTCATCAAGGTCCCCATTCAGATAGGCAGAAGAGAAGTCGATGGAGCGCAGTTTGAGGTTGTTCTGGGCAGCAAGAGCAAGGATGACGCGCAGAGTAGCAGGCCGGAAGGTGGGTGCAAACACGTCATGGTAGTCAATGCCATAGCGCTGGCCATGACCATCTGCCACGAGTCTGGCTTTGTAGCGTTCCACAGTGCCATCAGACTTGTGTTTGATCACAAACACCCATTGAGAGCGAATTGGCTTGACCCCTTGTGGCAAGTCGACTACATCCCATGTGCAGTAACTGAGCAGAGAGTCAATCTCAGATGCAGCTGCAGCGCGCCATAGTGGACCATCCTCCCGCTTGGACGCTTCAAAGAACGACCTGGGGTTCCCAGAGGCTACAGCAGACAACACGGACTGCACTGCAGTAGCGTGAGCTGCTGCCAGCTTGGGATCTGAGGGGTCACCCTCGCGAGCCACAATCAGGGCAGAGGATGACTTCAGAAGCAGCTCATCGTCACTGAGGTCTTCAGGGATCTCTTCAAAGATCTCTGCCATGGTGCGCCTGGGAGGAGCAGCAGCCGGAGCTGGAGCCCTCCTGGGTGGTGCAGGGACACGATGGATGCCAGCAGCAGCACGACGAGCTGCCACCCCAATTGGAGATTGGGGAGGAGGAGGCGAGGGTGGAGGGTGAAGCGGGGCATCCCCAGCTGGTGGTGGAGATGGAGGTGGTGGAGCTCGACGTAGAAAGTTGATTTCATCATCACTGCTGGCTGCAGGAGAGGGAACTCGAGGTGCAGGGAGAGGACGAGCAGGCGGCTGTTGCTGCTCATCATCACCATTGTCATCAGGGACATACACCGGTGCCGGAGCACGAGGGGGATCCACCAGCATGGAAGAGGGGGGTGCCGCAGGACAGCTCCTCATAGCTTGAGGGGTGCTGCCTGGGAAGTAGCGCTCATCAAACACTGCTCTCTCAGCGATCACGAGTTTCCGAGTCTCTGGGTTGAAGAACAACCATCCCTTGTACCCTGCAGGATAGCCTACAAAGATACACTTCTGGACATGGTGACCAGAAGGACCTCTCTTGTCTCTTTGCACATGCACATAGGCAAGGCATCCCCAAACACGAAGATGAGACACATCAGGCTTTGCCTTGAACCACAGCTCATGGGGAGTCCTGGTGGGGTCTCGAGCTGTGGGGTGCATGTTACACACATGGATGTATGCAGACACCGCCAGTGCCCTGAATGCAGGGGGCAGGTTGGCTTCGTGTAACATGGCAGTCGAGTGCTCATCAACGGTGCGGTTAGACCGCTCTGCTGTCCCATTCTGCTGAGGCCGTGCCCTGACTGAATGGCGGTGCACAATGCCACACTTGTCCAGATGTGCTCTGAACTCATTAGACATGTACTCTCCCCCTTTATCTATTGAAGCAGGAAATGCAGAGAGGACTGGAGTCAACAGTAAGAAGCTCTGCATTGCAAGACAAGACAAGAAAAGAATCTACAGACCTGGAGTCAACAGTAAGAAGCTGAAGAACTCCAGGGAGGGAGGAACTATTTATGTGGATAGAGCATGTGACTGTATAGGAATCATGTGACTTGGAGTCATGTGACCAGAATGATGGAATGATGGGAACAATGATGGAATCAGATATCATCAGTGATGTGATCAGTGATAAGATCAGATGGAATCAGATAATCATGTGACCCAATCACCAGAGAGTGATCAAGTCCAAAACCCCTCACCAACACTCCCCCGGGATGAGATCAGTCTCTCAGCCTCTCCCCCGCAATCTCATCAGTGTGCGCAACCTTGCCACCTGAGGCCGAGGCAACGCCTTGGTCAGGATGTCAGCCAGCTGGTCCTGCGTTGGCACATACTTCACATCAATGAACCCTCTGGCCACTTCATCTCTGAGCCAGTAGTGTGCAAGGTCCAGATGCTTCATACGCCCATGGTGTTCAGGATTCTTGGACACAGAAATGGCAGACTGGTTGTCCATCATCAAGGGAGAAGCCCCAGACACACCATGCTCCAGCTCATGCAGCAGATTCCGCATCCACTTGATCTCCTTCCCAGCATCCACACCAGCCACATACTCTGCTTCAGTAGTGGACAGAGAGATGGTGGACTGCAGCTTGCTCCTCCAGCTCACTGGTCCACCAGCCATCATGATAACATACCCCCCAGTGCTTTTCATGGAGTCTTTGTCTCCAGCATGATCAGCATCAGTGAAGGTGGTGAAGAGGTCGTCAGGATGGATGTGGGTGGCTGGGTCATAGAGGGTGGGAGAGGATTTGGAGTAGGTGATGCGGAAGTCAAGGGTGCCCTGGATGTATCGAAGCAGGTGCTTGACAGCCTTCCAGTGCTCTTCACCAGGATTGCTATTGAAGCGTGCCAACACCCCCACAGCATAGGAGATGTCAGGGCGAGTCTGACAGGCCAGGTACATCAGAGAGCCAACAGCAGACAGATAGTTGCCCTTGAACTGCTTGGACTCCTCCTCAGTCTTGGCTCCCATCTCCTTGGTCAGAGACAGGCCAGGCAGCATGGGGGTGTCCACAGGCTTGCAATCAGCCATGCCATACTGCTCCAGGAGGTTCACAGCATACTGGCGCTGGGAGATGCTGATGTCCCCAGTGTGCTCATCACGCTCTATCTTGATCCCCAGAAGCCACTCTGTGGGACCCAGATCCCGCACCTTGAAGGCCGTACCCAGCTGGGCAATAACCTTGTCAATGTCAGCATCATGCTTTGCAGCAATGGTGCCATCATCAACATAGATGGGCAGAATAACGCGGACCACACCATCAGAGTAGATGTGGCAGGAGCTGTCTGACTTGATGCACTTGAACCCCATGGCAGTCAGCTTGGCAACCAACTTGATGCGCCACTGGCGGCCAGCCTGCTTCAGCCCATAGATAGACCGGTTCAGCTTCAGGACCTGGCCCTTCTCTCCCTGGGGGAACCCTTCTGGCTGAGTCATGTAGACATCCTCATCCAGGTCCCCATTGAGGTAGGCAGAAGAGAAGTCGATGGAGCGCAGTTTGAGGCTGTTCTGGGCAGCAAGAGCGAGGATGACGCGCAGAGTAGCAGGTCTGAAGGTGGGTGCAAACACCTCGTGGTAGTCAATGCCATAGCGCTGGCCACGACCATCTGCCACCAGTCTGGCTTTGTAGCGTTCCACGGTGCCATCAGACTTGTGTTTGATCACAAACACCCATTGAGAGCGAATTGGCTTGACCCCTTGTGGCAAGTCGACCACATCCCATGTGCAGTTACTGAGCAGAGAGTCAGTCTCAGATGCAGCTGCAGCGCGCCATAGTGGACCATCCTCCCGCTTGGACGCTTCAAAGAACGACCGGGGGTTCCCAGAGGCTACAGCAGACAACACGGACTGCACAGTAGTAGCGTGAGCTGCTGCCAGCTTAGGATCTGAGGGGTCACCCTCGCGAGCCACAATAAGGGCGGAGGATGACTTCAGAAGCAGCTCATCGTCGCTGAGGTCTTCAGGGATCTCTTCAAAAATCTCTGCCATGGTGCGCCTGGGAGGAGCAGCAGCCGGAGCTGGAGCCCTTCTGGGTGGTGCAGGGACACGATGAATGCCAGCAGCAGCACGACGAGCTGCCACCCCAATTGGAGATTGGGGAGGAGGAGGCGAGGGTGGAGGGTGAAGCGGGGCATCCCCAGCTGGTGGTGGAGATGGAGGTGGTGGAGCTCGACGTAGAAAGTTGATTTCATCATCACTGCTGGCTGCAGGAGAGGGAACTCGAGGTGCAGGGAGAGGACGAGCAGGCGGCTGTTGCTGCTCATCATCACCATCGTCATCAGGGACATACACCGGTGCCGGAGCACGAGGGGGATCCACCAGCATGGAAGAGGGGGGTGCCGCAGGACAGCTCCTCATAGCTTGAGGGGTGCTGCCTGGGAAGTAGCGCTCATCAAACACTGCTCTCTCAGCGATCACGAGTTTCCGAGTCTCTGGGTTGAAGAACAACCATCCCTTGTACCCTGCAGGATAGCCTACAAAGATACACTTCTGGACATGATGCCCAGAAGAACCTCTCTTGTCTCTTTGCACATGCACATAGGCAAGGCATCCCCAAACACGCAGATGAGACACATCAGGCTTTGCCTTGAACCACAGCTCATGGGGAGTCCTGGTGGGGTCTCGAGCTGTGGGGTGCATGTTGCACACATGGATGTATGCAGACACCGCCAGTGCCCTGAATGCAGGGGCAGGTTGGCTTCGTGTAACATGGCAGTCGAGTGCTCATCAACGGTGCGGTTAGACCGCTCTGCTGTCCCATTCTGCTGAGGCCGTGCCCTGACTGAATGGCGGTGCACAATGCCACACTTGTCCAGATGTGATCTGAACTCATTAGACATGTACTCTCCCCCTTTATCGTCCTGGAATGCCTTGATCTTCAGCCCCCAGTGAGTCTCAGCATACGCTTGAAACATCTTAAGGGCTGCAAATGTCTCACTCTTGTTCTTCATGTGGTATGCTACCTTGAAGCCAGTGTGATCATCAACAAAAGTCACTCTGTGCTTCCAGCCCTCGCGGGTGGGCACAGAGTAGCTCTTTAGATCAGAGTGAATAAGATCAAGAGGCGCTCCAGAACGATGACCAGTTGAAGGAAACAGGCCAGCATTCAGCTTGCCAAAGAGGCATGGCTCACAGATAGGATCTGGCTTCCTAGCCGAGGCAAGCCTCACACCAGTAACTAGCTCTTTATCCATGACTAGCTTGGTATCACTGTGGTGTCCAAGCCACCTGTGCATCAGGCTGAGGTCAATGGGAAGAGTCCCAGCTGTAGAAACCAGTGCTGAACCAGCAGAAGGGAAACCAGTCTCTCTCACAAATGCCTGGCCTTGCTCTGAGATGTCTGCCACAAAGTACACTTCACCATTGCGCTTGAACAGGATGTAGTTCTCCTTCATGAGCACAGTGTAGTCATGGTGAACTGACAGGTATGTAGTGGAGATCAGATTGTGAGACAGAGCAGGAACAAACAAGACATTCGTGAGAATAACAGACTGGCTACTGGACTGTCCATGGATAAGTGGCCTAAGTACTATCTCCCCCACAAGTTCGGAATAAACAACAACTCCATTTGCGACTTTGATGGGCGCCCTATGAGGGCGTGTATTTTGCAGCAGGTGCACACAATGCGTCATGTGCGATGTGGCGCCTGAGTCTGCTATCCATCGCAAATCAGTACTGGAAGTTGTGTGAGAGAGAAGACTTGCATTGGTGGCCACTTCGGACTTGGCTGCTCCTTTTCCATTCCCAGCCCTGGGAGTATTGCCCTTGAGAAGTGCAAGGAACTCTGGACACTTCAAAATAGTGTGACCACGCTTTTGACACGCAGCACACCAAGGCTGGGAGGGACCAGATGCAGCCTCCAGTGCAGCAGAAGGAGGATTGGCAGAAGTGATCATTGCAGCTCCAGACAGAGGATTGCTCTGCCCAGAGTCTCCTGCATTGCCTGCTGCCCTGAAAGCAGACCATGAGGTGAAGGCCTGTTCAATGGCAGCCACCTTGAGAGCATCATGGGATTGCTCAAAGGGAGCCTTCAGAGTTGCATAAGCAGGCTCAGAATCAGGCAAGGCCATGAGGAGAACCACAGCATGCAGCTCTTCATCAGCCTTATCCAGTGTGAAGGAATCAGGCCTAGAGCTTTTGAGGAAGCGCACAGCCTCAGATACACGACCCACAAGGCTTAGCAAGCCCTCACCCTCCTTGAGTCTGATGGAGGTAAGGTTTTTATAGGCATTGAAGCGCTGCCCAGCCTGCTTGGGTGCAAAGATTGAAGGCAATGCAGCCCATAAGGCCTTGGGATCATCCTCATGCTGACGCACTAGGGACCTAACATCAGGGGAAAGCATGCTCCACAAGATGCCAGCACACTTGTCCTTCTTGACTTCCTCATGCTTGGCTGCATCAAAGGTGGCAGTGCAGTACACAAACACCTCTTTGCCTCTGAGATAGGCCTTGGCATCACTCTGCCAATCAGAGAAGACAGTTTCCTTATGGAGAACTGGGAGAAGAGTGTGGGAATCTGATGCCATGCTGTGCTCAAAAATGCGCCCAGAATGATGTAGGGGATGTATGTAGGTAGGTACAGGCTCTCAGGAGTGTGTTGATCTCAGGCACCTAGCTGTCTCAACCTCAGGATCACAGGAATGACTACCTGGTGTTTCCTGATGGACCAAAGAGCACACCCACTTAAGGATAGAGTCCCAACTACTAGTGCCTGAACCACAGACACTATAAGAGCAGAGGAAAAAGAGAACAGAACAGGCAGCAGAGATGTCAACTACAGTAGTAGGACTGGGGCAAGCAGGGAGCAGCAGGCAGAGAAAATCAGAGAATGGAAAAAACTCGAAAATCTCAGAATAGATGACTCAGAGGCACTCTAGAGGCAGGGGCCCATAACCTGTTGAAGCAGGAAATGCAGAGAGGACTGGAGTCAACAGTAAGAAGCTCTGCATTGCAAGACAAGACAAGAAAAGAATCTACAGACCTGGAGTCAACAGTAAGAAGCTGAAGAACTCCAGGGAGGGAGGAACTATTTATGTGGATAGAGCATGTGACTGTATAGGAATCATGTGACTTGGGATCATGTGACCAGAATGATGGAATGATGGGAACAGTGATGGAATCAGATATCATCAGTGATGTGATCAGTGATAAGATCAGATGGAATCAGATAATCATGTGACCCAATCACCAGAGAGTGATCAAGTCCAAAACCCATCACCAACATGTTGGTGATGGGTTTTGGACTTGATCACTCCCCATGTTGAGGATGGGTTTTGGACTTGATCACTCCCTGGTGATTGGGTCACATGATCATCTGATTCCATCTGATCCTATCACTGATCACATCACTGATGATATCTGATTCCATCACTGTTCCCATCATTCCATCATTCTGGTCACATGATCCCAAGTCACATGATTCCTATACAGTCACATGCTCTATCCACATAAATAGTTCCTCCCTCCCTGGAGTTCTTCAGCTTCTTACTGTTGACTCCAGGTCTGTAGATTCTTTTCTTGTCTTGTCTTGCAATGCAGAGCTTCTTACTGTTGACTCCAGTCCTCTCTGCATTTCCTGCTTCAACAGGTTATGGGCCCCTGCCTCTAGAGTGCCTCTGAGTCATCTATTCTGAGATTTTCGAGTTTTTTCCATTCTCTGATTTTCTCTGCCTGCTGCTGCCTGCTTGCCCCAGTCCTGCTACTGCAGTTGACATCTCTGCTCCCCTCTGTCTGTTTTTTTTTTTCTGCTCTTATAGTGTCTGTGGTTCAGGCACTAGTAGTTGGGACTCTATCCTTCAGTGGGTGTGCTCTTTGGTCCATCAGGAAACACCAGGTAGTCATTCCTGTGATCCTGAGGTTGAGACAGCGAGGTGCCTGAGATCAACACACTCCTGAGAGCCTGTAGCTACATACATACATCTCCTACATCATTCTGGGCGCATTTTTGAGCACAGCATGGCATCAAATTCCCACTCTCATCCATCAGTCTTTCCCCCTTCTGCTGCCCTGGCAGCTGCACCTGCTTCTGCTCAGCCATTGTGTTATGCCTGTTATCAACATGGCCACACACTCCTAAAATGCCCAGAGTTTCTGTCTCTCCTAGAGGACAATGCTTCTGAGCCTGAGCCAGAGCCTGAGCCTGAGCCTAGGCCTAGGCCCAGAAAGGGTGCAGTCAAGTCTGAAGTGGCCACTCATACAAGCCTTCTCTCCCACTCCACTGCAGAGCCTGAGCTCAGATGGATTGCAGATTCTGGTGCTACATCACACATGACCCATTGTGTGCACCTGCTGCAGAACACTCGTCCTCACAAGGCACCCATCAGAGTGGCTAATGGACTCGTGGTCTATTCAGAGCTTGTGGGGGAGATAGTGCTTAGGCCACTGATCCATGGACATGCCAGGAGCCGGTCTGTGATCCTCTCCAATGTGCTCTATGTCCCTGCTCTGTCACACAATCTGATCTCCACTACATACCTGTCAGTTCACCATGACTACACTGTGCTCATGAAGGAGAACTACATCCTGTTCAAGCGCAATGGTGAAGTGTACTTTGTGGCAGACATCTCAGAGCAGGGTCAGGCATTTGTGAGAGAGACTGGTTTCCCTTCTGCTGGTTCAGCACTGGTTTCTACAGCTGGGACTCTTCCCATTGACCTTAGCCTGATGCACAGGCGGCTTGGACACCACAGTGATACCAAGCTAGTCATGGATAAAGAGCTAGTTACTGGTGTGAGGCTTGCCTCTGCCAGGAAGCCAGACCCCATCTGTGAGCCATGCCTCTTTGGCAAGCTGAATGCTGGCCTGTTTCCCTCAACTGGTCATCGTTCTGGAGCGCCTCTTGATCTCATTCACTCTGATCTAAAGAGCTACTCTGTGCCCACCCGCGAGGGCTGGAAGCACAGGGTGACTTTTGTTGATGATCACACTGGCTTCAAGGTAGCATACCATATGAAGAACAAGAGTGAGACCTTTGCAGCCCTTAAGATGTTTCAAGCCTATGCTGAGACTCACTGGGGGCTGAAGATCAAGGCATTCCAGGACGATAAAGGGGGAGAGTGTTGAAGCAGGAAATGCAGAGAGGACTGGAGTCAACAGTAAGAAGCTCAGCATTGCAAGAGAAAACAAGAAAAGAATCTACAGACCTGGAGTCAACAGTAAGAAGCTGAAGAACTCCAGGGAGGGAGGAACTATCTATGTGGATGGAGCATGTGACTGTACAGGAATCATGTGATCAGAAGTCATGTGACCAGAATGATGGAATGATGGGAACAATGATGGGAACAGTGATGGAATCAGATATCATCAGTGATGTGATCAGTGATAAGATCAGATGGAATCAGATGATCATGTGACCCAATCACCAGAGAGTGATCAAGTCCAAAACCCATCACTAACACTCCCCCGGGATGAGATCAGTCTCTCAGCCTCTCCCCCGCAATCTCATCAGTGTGCGCAACCTTGCCACCTGAGGCCGAGGCAGCGCCTTGGTCATAATGTCAGCCAGCTGGTCCTGCGTCGGCACATACTTCACATCAATGAACCCTCTGGCCACTTCATCTCTGAGCCAGTAGTGTGCCAGGTCGAGATGCTTCATACGCCCATGGTGTTCAGGATTCTTGGACACAGAAATGGCAGACTGGTTGTCCATCATCAAGGGAGAAGCCCCAGACACACCATGCTCCAGCTCATGCAGCAGATTCCGCATCCACTTGATCTCCTTCCCAGCATCCACACCAGCCACATACTCTGCCTCAGTGGTGGACAGAGAGATGGTGGACTGCAGCTTGCTCCTCCAGCTCACTGGTCCACCAGCCATCATAATGACATACCCCCCAGTGCTTTTCATGGAGTCCTTGTCTCCAGCATGATCAGCATCAGTGAAGGTGGTGAAGAGGTCGTCAAGATGGATATGGGTGGCTGGGTCATAGAGAGTGGGAGAGGATTTGGAGTAGGTGATGCGGAAGTCAAGGGTGCCCTGAATGTATCGAAGCAGGTGCTTGACAGCCTTCCAGTGCTCTTCACCAGGATTGCTATTGAAGCGCGCTAGCACCCCCACAGCATAGGAGATGTCAGGACGAGTCTGACAGGCCAGGTACATCAGGGAGCCAACAGCAGACAGATAGTTGCCCTTGAACTGCTTGGACTCCTCCTCAGTCTTGGCTCCCATCTCCTTGGTTAGAGACAGGCCAGGCAGCATGGGGGTGTCCACAGGCTTGCAGTCAGCCATGCCATACTGCTCCAGAAGGTTCACAGCATACTGGCGCTGGGAGATGCTGATGTCCCCAGTGTGCTCATCACGCTCTATCTTGATCCCCAGAAGCCACTCTGTGGGACCCAGATCCCGCACCTTGAAGGCCGTGCCAAGCTGGGCAATGACCTTGTCAATGTCAGCATCATGCTTTGCAGCAATGGTGCCATCATCAACATAGATGGGCAGGATCACGCGCACCACACCATCAGAGTAGATGTGGCAGGAGCTGTCTGACTTGATGCACTTGAACCCCATGGCAGTCAGCTTGGCAACCAACTTGATGCGCCACTGGCGGCCAGCCTGCTTCAGCCCATAGATGGACCGGTTCAGCTTCAGGACCTGGCCTTTCTCTCCCTGGGGGAACCCTTCTGGCTGAGTCATGTAGACATCCTCATCCAGGTCCCCATTGAGGTAGGCAGAAGAGAAGTCGATGGAGCGCAACTTGAGGTTGTTCTGAGCAGCAAGAGCGAGGATGACGCGCAGAGTAGCAGGTCTGAAGGTCGGTGCAAACACCTCGTGGTAGTCAATGCCATAGCGCTGGCCACGACCATCTGCCACGAGTCTGGCTTTGTAGCGTTCCACAGTGCCATCAGACTTGTGTTTGATCACAAACACCCATTGAGAGCGGATTGGCTTGACCCCTTGTGGCAAGTCGACCACATCCCATGTGCAGTTGCTGAGCAGAGAGTCAATCTCTGAAGCAGCTGCAGCGCGCCATAATGGACCATCCTCCCGCTTGGACGCTTCAAAGAACGACCTGGGGTTCCCAGAGGCTACAGCAGACAACACGGACTGCACTGCAGTAGCGTGAGCTGCTGCCAGCTTGGGATCTGAGGGGTCACCCTCACGAGCCACAATGAGGGCTGAGGATGACTTCAGAAGCAGCTCATCGTCACTGAGGTCTTCAGGGATCTCTTCAAAGATCTCTGCCATGGTGCGCCTGGAAGGAGCAGCAGCCGGAGCTGGAGCCCTCCTGGGTGGTGCAGGGACACGATGGATGCCAGCAGCAGCACGACGAGCTGCCACCCCAATTGGAGATTGGGGAGGAGGAGGCGAGGGTAGAGGGTGAAGCGGGGCATCCCCAGCTGGTGGTGGAGATGGAGGTGGTGGAGCTCGACGCAAGAAGTCGATTTCATCATCACTGCTGGCTGCAGGAGAGGGAACTCGTGGTGCAGGGAGAGGACGAGCAGGCGGCTGTTGCTGCTCATCGTCACCATCGTCATCAGGGACATACACCGGTGCTGGAGCACGAGGGGGATCCACCAGCATGGAGGAGGGGGGTGCCGCAGGACAGCTCCTCATAGCTTGAGGGGTGCTGCCTGGGAAGTAGCGCTCATCAAACACTGCTCTCTCAGCGATCACGAGTTTCCGGGTCTCTGGGTTGAAGAACAACCATCCCTTGTACCCTGCAGGATAGCCTACAAAGATACACTTCTGGACATGATGCCCAGAAGGACCTCTCTTGTCTCTTTGCACATGCACATAGGCAAGGCATCCCCAAACACGAAGATGAGACACATCAGGCTTTGCCTTGAACCACAGCTCATGGGGAGTCCTGGTGGGGTCTCGAGCTGTGGGGTGCATGTTGCACACATGGATGTATGCAGACACCGCCAGTGCCCTGAATGCAGGGGGCAGGTTGGCTTCGTGTAACATGGCAGTCGAGTGCTCATCAACGGTGCGGTTAGACCGCTCTGCTGTCCCATTCTGCTGAGGTCGCGCCCTGACTGAATGGCGGTGCACAATGCCACACTTGTCCAGATGTGATCTGAACTCATTAGACATGTACTCTCCCCCTTTATCGTCCTGGAATGCCTTGATCTTGAGCCCCCAGTGAGTCTCAGCATACGCTTGAAACATCTTAAGGGCTGCAAATGTCTCACTCTTGTTCTTCATGTGGTATGCTACCTTGAAGCCAGTGTGATCATCAACAAAAGTCACCCTGTGCTTCCAGCCCTCGCGGGTGGGCACAGAGTAGCTCTTTAGATCAGAGTGAATGAGATCAAGAGACGCTCCAGAACGATGACCAGTTGAAGGAAACAGGCCAGCATTCAGCTTGCCAAACAGGCATGGCTCACAGATGGGGTCTGGCTTCCTGGCAGAGGCAAGCCTCACACCAGTAACTAGCTCTTTATCCATGACTAGCTTGGTATCACTGTGGTGTCCAAGCCGCCTGTGCATCAGGCTGAGGTCAATGGGAAGAGTCCCAGCTGTAGAAACCAGTGCTGAACCAGCAGAAGGGAAACCAGTCTCTCTCACAAATGCCTGACCCTGCTCTGAGATGTCTGCTACAAAGTACACTTCACCATTGCGCTTGAACAGGATGTAGTTCTCCTTCATGAGCACAGTGTAGTCATGGTGAACTGACAGGTATGTAGTGGAGATCAGATTATGTGACAGAGCAGGGACATAGAGCACATTGGAAAGGATGACAGACCGGCTCCTGGCATGTCCATGGATCAGTGGCCTGAGCACTATCTCCCCCACAAGCTCTGAATAGACCACAAGTCCATTAGCCACTCTGATAGGTGCCCTGTGAGGACGAGTGTTCTGCAGCAGGTGCACACAATGGGTCATGTGTGATGTAGCACCAGAATCTGCAATCCACCTCAACTCAGGGTCTGCAGTGGAGTGGGAGAGGAGGCTTGTATGAGTGGCCACTTCAGACTTGACTGCACCCTTTCTGGGCCTAGGCCTAGGCTCAGGCTCTGGCTCTGGCTCAGGCTCAGAAGCATTGTCCTCTAGGAGAGACAGAAACTCTGGGCATTTTAGAAGTGTGTGGCCATGTTGATAACAGGCATAACACAATGGCTGAGCAGAAGCAGGTGCAGCTGCCAGGGCAGCAGAAGGAGAAAAGACTGATGGATGAGAGTGGGAATTTGATGCCATGCTGTGCTCAAAAATGCGCCCAGAATGATGTAGGAGATGTATGTATGTAGCTACAGGCTCTCAGGAGTGTGTTGATCTCAGGCACCTAGCTGTCTCAACCTCAGGATCACAGGAACGACTACCTGGTGTTTCCTGATGGACCAAAGAGCACACCCACTTAAGGATAGAGTCCCAACTACTAGTGCCTGAACCACAGACACTATAAGAGCAGAAAAAAAAACAGACAGAGGGGAGCAGAGATGTCAACTGCAGTAGCAGGACTGGGGCAAACAGGCAGCAGCAGGCAGAGAAAATCAGAGAATGGAAAAAACTCGAAAATCTCAGAATAGATGACTCAGAGGCACTCTAGAGGCAGGGGCCCATAACCTGTTGAAGCAGGAAATGCAGAGAGGACTGGAGTCAACAGTAAGAAGCTCAGCATTGCAAGAGAAAACAAGAAAAGAATCTACAGACCTGGAGTCAACAGTAAGAAGCTGAAGAACTCCAGGGAGGGAGGAACTATCTATGTGGATGGAGCATGTGACTGTACAGGAATCATGTGATCAGAAGTCATGTGACCAGAATGATGGAATGATGGGAACAATGATGGGAACAGTGATGGAATCAGATATCATCAGTGATGTGATCAGTGATAAGATCAGATGGAATCAGATGATCATGTGACCCAATCACCAGAGAGTGATCAAGTCCAAAACCCATCACTAACAGAGAGTACATGTCTAATGAGTTCAGATCACATCTGGACAAGTGTGGGATTGTGCACCGCCATTCAGTCAGGGCGCGGCCTCAGCAGAATGGGACAGCAGAGCGGTCTAACCGCACCGTTGATGAGCACTCCACTGCCATGTTACACGAAGCCAATCTGCCCCCTGCCTTCAGGGCACTGGCGGTGTCTGCATACATCCATGTGTGCAACATGCACCCCACAGCTCGAGACCCCACCAGGACTCCCCATGAGCTGTGGTTCAAGGCAAAGCCTGATGTGTCTCATCTTCGTGTTTGGGGATGCCTTGCCTATGTGCATGTGCAAAGAGACAAGAGAGGTCCTTCTGGGCATCATGTCCAGAAGTGTATCTTTGTAGGCTATCCTGCAGGGTACAAGGGATGGTTGTTCTTCAACCCAGAGACTCGGAAACTTGTTATCGCTGAGAGAGCAGTGTTTGATGAGCGCTACTTCCCAGGCAGCACCCCTCAAGCTATGAGGAGCTGTCCTGCGGCACCCCCCTCCTCCATGCTAGTGGATCCCCCTCGTGCTCAGGCACCGGTGTATGTCCCTGATGACAATGGTGACGATGAGCAGCAACAGCCGCTTGCTCGTCCTCTCCCTGCACCACGAGTTCCCTCTCCTGCAGCCAGCAGTGATGATGAAATCGACTTTCTACGTCAAGCTCCACCACCTCCATCTCCACCACCAGCTGGAGATGCCCCGCTTCACCCTCCACCCTCGCCTCCTCCTCCCCAATCCCCAATTGGGGTGGCAGCTCGTCGTGCTGCTGCTGGCATCCATCGTGTCCCTGCACCACCTAGGAGGGCTCCAGCTCCGGCTGCTGCTCCTCCCAGGCGCACCATGGCAGAGATCTTTGAAGAGATCCCTGAAGACCTCAGTGACGATGAGCTGCTTCTGAAGTCATCCTCTGCCCTTATTGTGGCTCGCGAGGGTGACCCCTCAGATCCCAAGCTGGCAGCAGCTCACGCTACTGCAGTGCAGTCCGTGTTGTCTGCTGTAGCCTCTGGGAACCCCAGGTCGTTCTTTGAAGCGTCCAAGCGGGAGGATGGTCCACTATGGCGCGCTGCAGCTGCTTCAGAGATTGACTCTCTGCTCAGCAACTGCACATGGGATGTGGTCGACTTGCCACAAGGGGTCAAGCCAATTCGCTCTCAATGGGTGTTTGTGATCAAACACAAGTCTGATGGCACTGTGGAACGCTACAAAGCCAGACTCGTGGCAGATGGTCGTGGCCAGCGCTATGGCATTGACTACCACGAGGTGTTTGCCCCCACCTTCAGACCTGCTACTCTGCGCGTCATCCTTGCCCTCGCTGCCCAGAACTGTTGAAGCAGGAAATGCAGAGAGGACTGGAGTCAACAGTAAGAAGCTCTGCATTGCAAGACAAGACAAGAAAAGAATCTACAGACCTGGAGTCAACAGTAAGAAGCTGAAGAACTCCAGGGAGGGAGGAACTATCTATGTGGATGGAGCATGTGACTGTATAGGAATCATGTGACTTGGAGTCATGTGACCAGAATGATGGAATGATGGGAACAGTGATGGAATCAGATATCATCAATGATGTGATCAGTGATGGAATCAGATGGAATCAGATGATCATGTGACCCAATCACCAGAGAGTGATCAAGTCCAAAACCCATCACCAACACTCCCCCGGGATGAGATCAGTCTCTCAGCCTCTCCCCCGCAATCTCATCAGTGTGCGCAACCTTGCCACCTGAGGCCGAGGCAGCGCCTTGGTCATAATGTCAGCCAGCTGGTCCTGCGTCGGCACATACTTCACATCAATGAACCCTCTGGCCACTTCATCTCTGAGCCAGTAGTGTGCCAGGTCCAGATGCTTCATACGCCCATGGTGTTCAGGATTCTTGGACACAGAAATGGCAGACTGGTTGTCCATCATCAAGGGAGAAGCCCCAGACACACCATGCTCCAGCTCATGCAGCAGATTCCGCATCCACTTGATCTCCTTCCCAGCATCCACACCAGCCACATACTCTGCCTCAGTGGTGGACAGAGAGATGGTGGACTGCAGCTTGCTCCTCCAGCTTACTGGTCCACCAGCCATCATAATGACATACCCCCCAGTGCTTTTCATGGAGTCCTTGTCTCCAGCATGATCAGCATCAGTGAAGGTGGTGAAGAGGTCGTCAGGATGGATATGGGTGGCTGGGTCATAGAGGGTGGGGGAAGATTTGGAGTAGGTAATGCGGAAGTCAAGGGTGCCCTGGATGTATCGAAGCAGGTGCTTGACAGCCTTCCAGTGCTCTTCACCAGGATTGCTGTTGAACCTTGCCAACACCCCCACAGCATAGGAGATGTCAGGACGAGTCTGACAGGCCAGGTACATCAGGGAGCCAACAGCAGACAGATAGTTGCCCTTGAACTGCTTGGACTCCTCCTCAGTCTTGGCTCCCATCTCCTTGGTCAGAGACAGGCCAGGCAGCATGGGGGTGTCCACAGGCTTGCAGTCAGCCATGCCATACTGCTCCAGGAGGTTCACAGCATACTGGCGCTGGGAGATGCTGATGTCCCCAGTGTGCTCATCGCGCTCTATCTTGATCCCCAGAAGCCACTCTGTGGGACCCAGATCCCGCACCTTGAAGGCTGTGCCAAGCTGGGCAATGACCTTGTCAATGTCAGCATCATGCTTTGCAGCAATGGTGCCATCATCAACATAGATAGGCAGGATCACGCGCACAACACCATCAGAGTAGATGTGGCAGGAGCTGTCAGACTTGATGCACTTGAACCCCATGGCAGTCAGCTTGGCAACCAACTTGATGCGCCACTGGCGGCCAGCCTGCTTCAGCCCATAGATGGACCGGTTCAGCTTCAGGACCTGGCCCTTCTCTCCCTGAGGGAACCCTTCCGGCTAAGTCATGTAGACATCCTCATCCAGGTCACCATTGAGGTAGGCAGAAGAGAAGTCAATGGAGCGCAACTTGAGGTTGTTCTGGGCAGCCAGAGCAAGGATGACATGCAGAGTAGCAGGTCGGAAGGTGGGGGCAAACACCTCGTGGTAGTCAATGCCATAGCGCTGGCCACGACCATCTGCCACGAGTCTGGCTGTGTAGCGTTCCACAGTGCCATCAGACTTGTGTTTGATTACAAACACCCATTGAGAGCGGATTGGCTTGACCCCTTGTGGCAAGTCAACCACATCCCATGTGCAGTTGCTGAGCAGAGAGTCAATCTCAGATGCAGCTGCAGCGCGCCATAATGGACCATCCTCCCGCTTGGACGCTTCAAAGAACGACCTGGGGTTCCCAGAGGCTACAGCAGACAACACGGACTGCACTGCAGTAGCGTGAGCTGCTGCCAGCTTGGGATCTGAGGGGTCACCCTCGCGAGCCACAATGAGGGCAGAGGATGACTTCAGAAGCAGCTCATCGTCGCTGAGGTCTTCAGGGATCTCTTCAAAGATCTCTGCCATGGTGCGCCTGGGAGGAGCAGCAGCCGGAGCTGGAGCCCTCCTAGGTGGTGCAGGGACACGATGGATGCCAGCAGCAGCACGACGAGCTGCCACCCCAATTGGGGATTGGGGAGGAGGAGGCGAGGGTGGAGGGTGAAGCGGGGCATCTCCAGCTGGTGGTGGAGATGGAGGTGGTGGAGCTTGACGTAGAAAGTCGATTTCATCATCACTGCTGGCTGCAGGAGAGGGAACTCGTGGTGCAGGGAGAGGACGAGCAGGCGGCTGTTGCTGCTCATCGTCACCATCGTCATCAGGGACATACACCGGTGCCGGAGCACGAGGGGGATCCACCAGCATGGAGGAGGGGGGTGCAGCAGGACAGCTCCTCATAGCTTGAGGGGTGCTGCCTGGGAAGTAGCGCTCATCAAACACTGCTCTCTCAGCGATAACGAGTTTCCGAGTCTCTGGGTTGAAAAACAACCATCCCTTGTACCCTGCAGGATAGCCTACAAAGATACACTTCTGGACATGATGACCAGAAGGACCTCTCTTGTCTTTTTGCACATGCACATAGGCAAGGCATCCCCAAACACGCAGATGAGACACATCAGGCTTTGCCTTGAACCACAGCTCATGGGGAGTCCTGGTGGGGTCTCGAGCTGTGGGGTGCATGTTGCACACATGGATGTATGCAGACACCGCCAGTGCCCTGAATGCAGGGGGCAGGTTGGCTTCGTGTAACATGGCAGTCGAGTGCTCATCAACGGTGCGGTTAGACCGCTCTGCTGTCCCATTCTGCTGAGGCCGTGCCCTGACTGAATGGCGGTGCACAATGCCACACTTGTCCAGATGTGCTCTGAACTCATTAGACATGTACTCTCCCCCTTTATCGTCCTGGAATGCTTTGATCTTCAGCCCCCAGTGAGTCTCAGCATACGCTTGAAACATCTTAAGGGCTGCAAATGTCTCACTCTTGTTCTTCATGTGGTATGCTACCTTGAAGCCAGTGTGATCATCAACAAAAGTCACCCTGTGCTTCCAGCCCTCGCGGGTGGGCACAGAGTAGCTCTTTAGATCAGAGTGAATCAGATCAAGAGGCGCTCCAGAACGATGACCAGTTGAAGGAAACAGGCCAGCATTCAGCTTGCCAAAGAGGCATGGCTCACAGATGGGGTCTGGCTTCCTGGCAGAGGCAAGCCTCACACCAGTAACTAGCTCTTTATCCATGACCAGCTTGGTATCACTGTGGTGTCCAAGCCGCCTGTGCATCAGGCTGAGGTCAATGGGAAGAGTCCCAGCTGTAGAAACCAGTGCTGAACCAGCAGAAGGGAAACCAGTCTCTCTCACAAATGCCTGACCCTGCTCTGAGATATCTGCCACAAAGTATACTTCACCATTGCGTTTGAACAGGATGTAGTTCTCCTTCATAAGCACAGTGTAGTCGTGGTGAACTGACAGGTATGTAGTGGAGATCAGATTGTGTGACAGAGCAGGGACATAGAGCACATTGGAGAGGATGACAGACCGGCTCCTGGCATGTCCATGAATCAGTGGCCTAAGCACTATCTCCCCCACAAGCTCTGAATAGACCACAAGTCCATTAGCCACTCTGATGGGTGCCCTGTGAGGACGAGTGTTCTGCAGCAGGTGCACACAATGGGTCATGTGTGATGTAGCACCAGAATCTGCAATCCATCTGAGCTCAGGGTCTGCAGTGGAGTGGGAGAGAAGGCTTGTATGAGTGGCCACTTCAGACTTGACTGCACCCTTTCTAGGCCTAGGCCTAGGCTTAGGCTCAGGCTCAGGCTCTGGCTCAGGCTCAGAAGCATTGTCCTCTAGGAGAGACAGAAACTCTGGGCATTTTAGGAGTGTGTGGCCATGTTGATAACAGGCATAACACAATGGCTGAGCAGAAGCAGGTGCAGCTGCCAGGGCAGCAGAAGGAGAAAAGACTGATAGATGAGAGTGGGAATTTGATGCCATGCTGTGCTCAAAAATGCGCCCAGAATGATGGAGGGGATCTATGTATGTAGCTACAGGCTCTCAGGAGTGTGTTGATCTCAGGCACCTAGCTGTCTCAACCTCAGGATCACAGGAATGACTACCTGGTGTTTCCTGATGGACCAAAGAGCACACCCACTTAAGGATAGAGTCCCAACTACTAGTGCCTGAACCACAGACACTATAAGAGCAGAAAAAAAAACAGACAGAGGGGAGCAGAGATGTCAACTGCAGTAGCAGGACTGGGGCAAGCAGGCAGCAGCAGGCAGAGAAAATCAGAGAATGGAAAAAACTCGAAAATCTCAGAATAGATGACTCAGAGGCACTCTAGAGGCAGGGGCCCATAACCTGTTGAAGCAGGAAATGCAGAGAGGACTGGAGTCAACAGTAAGAAGCTCTGCATTGCAAGACAAGACAAGAAAAGAATCTACAGACCTGGAGTCAACAGTAAGAAGCTGAAGAACTCCAGGGAGGGAGGAACTATCTATGTGGATGGAGCATGTGACTGTATAGGAATCATGTGACTTGGAGTCATGTGACCAGAATGATGGAATGATGGGAACAATGATGGAATCAGATATCATCAGTGATGTGATCAGTGATGAGATCAGATGGAATCAGGTGATCATGTGACCCAATCACCAGAGAGTGATCAAGTCCAAAACCCATCACCAACACCAACGGAGCGCCTCGAAGATGGTCTGCTAACAAACACGGAACGTGGTCAAGAGCCAGTTCTTAGGAAGTTTACCTACTCCAATATAGGTAACAGCAATAGTTGATGCAAGAACGGCAGGGGGTCGTGGCATCAACTTCCCGGCCAACATTGACATGATTCCGCCACTATCAAGCTGGTATGAACTGACAGTACCCCGCATACCCTGCTGGAGTTTTGTTGGGTTGCGACTGCCAACATGAGGGTGCAATTTAAAAACGAACCTGCGGGGGTAGATAAGAGCGTTAAGCAATTGCTCGGAGAAGGTGAGTTTTTGGAGTTGCCACAGCACAGGACCGATCCACATGTTATTGGCGAGTGAATATTTAGGCGGCTTGTGCTCGTTCTGAGCCAGGCTCGACAAGCAATGGGTGCAAACCCACACGTAAATATCTGCTACCCGCTACTCAATGCCTGCTGGATCAAGAAGCCTTCAATCGAACAGTTCATGCGCTGGGTGTCGATTTTGAGGCTTGAGGGTGTGGCAATTGGGGAGAGCTGCGAGACGCTATAGTACGCATTCTTCCCTATCCTCTATATTTACCTTGCATCCACAGATTGTGCAGACCTGGCGGGCAATGCCAGCGTTAGAGGTCGCCACGTAGAACTTGTGATACAGCTCTTTTCTTCGGTCAGCGTCTAGGGTCGTCATAAACTTTGAAGTGTCCTTGTCTTCCACTCAAAGCGGAATGTTTGCGTGGTATTGTTGGAGTTAGGAATCCCAGCACCAAGGCAGAATAGCTCAGTGGTTAGAGCACTGGACGATCCAAGTCAGAGGTCCCAGGTTCAATTCCTGGTTCAGCCATTTTATCAACAGGTATGCGAGTGGCTCTTGTGCAAGCGCTCTGGCCACTCGTGCATTTTCTTCCCTCTCATCACACTTGCGTTTCAATGTGCTCAGGTTTGCAGCTGCTGGCTGAACAACTACTGTCCTGGCTACATTGTGAAGTTGACTCAGGTGGTCAGACGGCAAAGTTGTCTCAATATATGATATAAGATCATCTTTGCGGCATGTGAGACAATGTGGTATGTCGATTTTGCCCTGGGCAAGCATATGAATCTGCTTGACTGTGAGATGCAAAAAAGGTGATGGAAGGCCAGCAGGTTGGGAGTGTTTACCATGATTGCAGCAAGGAAAGAACAGGGGCCGCTCCTCAAAAAAGAGGAGGGTTCAGTCAGTCCAATTGAAACGGTGCTGATCATAGTCTCCTCCATGTTGGTGATGGGTTTTGGACTTGATCACTCTCTGGTGATTGGGTCACATGATCACCTGATTCCATCTGATCTTATCACTGATCACATCACTGATGATATCTGATTCCATCACTGTTCCCATTATTCCATCATTCTGGTCACATGACTCCAAGTCACATGATTCCTATACAGTCACATGATTCCTATACAGTCACATGCTCCATCTACATAGATAGTTCTTGCCTCCCTGGAGTTCTTCAGCTTCTTACTGTTGACTCCAGTCCTCTCTGCATTTCCTGCTTCAACAACATCTGGCAGTGGGCGTTCCCAGAGTGCAACAGGAAGACACAATAGCCTGGACACCAAAATTGGCCGCGTCGTGTATCAGGAGTTTTCGACAGTTGTCATCCTGAAACAGCAGATGTGTGTCTGAAAGCCTGGCAAAGAATTAGAAGAACATTGGCAAGAGGCAACACTGGTATGTGCAGCATCTTTGGCTTGCTCCACTAGTTGACATGTGTTCATCCAAGGTGACACCACAACATGGCGTACGCATACTGTGGAACAAGGAAGCAACACGGCAAAAGTGTGCAAAGAACCAAACACAACTGTACATCTGTAAGGCGGAGGACACATATTGAGCTGCAGAACTCACCCTCGCCGAACAGTATGCACTTACAGAATATCTAACACAACATAAGCGGGGAACCAACAGTATGGAGAAAGACTTGCCGCACACAATTGAAATTGCCGTTGGCATGGAGGTGATGGTGATGAACAACATTGAAACCGATTTCGACCTTACAAACGGAGCTCGCGGCATTGTTGACTGTTGAACTCAGAAAACACAGATGGGAGCCGCAGGAGGCTAGGGGCACAGATGGGAGGCGAAAAGCCCAGTCTGTCACATTGATCTAGGGCTATGTACTGATGGTCACATAGCTAAGTAACACTCTTTTGTCTGAACCAAGCCGGACATCCTTTCCACACTTCAACATTGACAGGATCATCCTTGATCCAGATGAGCCACCTATTGGTAACAATGCAATTGTGCACCTAACACGTCTTCCCTCTTTTATCTTGGTCAAATTTGAACAAACGTGAGCAGTGATAGGCTGGCTACCAGACGCGCTCTGCACCAGCTCTATAAGGGCGTATTTTTCCACTTTTACAGAGTTTACTCTCAAACCACTCGGTGTATCGTGTCGCGGTTGTCAGTGTTGCATTCAGTAGGACTTAAGAGTCTACTGCCCAGTTGACAACTGTGGATAGTGTTGATGATAGCAAGGCAGTTAGACCACTACTGTGGAATTGGCCTTATGAGTCTACACCAGGCTCAGGGCTATTAGTGACAAACGCTTGAACCGCGACAATTCCCCAAAAAGGGATCTTTCATTGCGTCGACTTCTCAAAAAGGGTCATTCTCTGCAGATGGGAACTTGGGCTGAAGGGCTGAGCAATGCGTGACGTTCTCAATATTACAACTACTGCTGGACAGGACTTGGCGTTACGAGATTGAACCAATCTTGTCGTGGCAACTCCTGGTTTTGGGTTAGACGTTTCCTCAGATCATGCCACGGCGACGACTTGTCACATGTCAGGATCCACTCAATCACGGGACATTGTGGACGCGTTGCGGTAACACTTCAAAGTGTCACGGCGAGTCGCACCCATACCCAAAGATACTAAAATTGACACAGGCTAGATCCGTAAATCAAACCATGTGAGGAACATCTGGCATGCCTAGGACCATACGGCTTCTTGGGGCACCCACGTTGGACTCACCTGCCAAGACATACCCGTTGGCCAATCCAGCACGTCGTATTCCAAAAGTATGACGCGGTGGGTTGACCCACATCAAAAGTATCATATGGACTATGGGGCGGGGTCCTGATCACTCAGGACCTGTCCGATCGTTCAACTTTTCATTACTCTAAAAGGCAACCAATCTTAGATAGCGTAGCTACTATGCAGTTGTACAGGACTTTACTAAGCATCGTCGTAGACAGTATAAGTAGCAAGTCGTTTCTTTGTATTGGAAAGCTTTCCCCCGGACTGTGAATTATTCCCATATCAGATTGTTTTGTACAATTTGCGTGTTGCGTGATTCCACCCTAAGAAGTTCTGCCACCCCTGCCCAGTCGCAACAAGTTGCTCTCTGAGCACTTGTAGCTACTGTGATTTGAGTTCTGAGTTGAGATATCAGAAAGTCGGATTTGCCGCATCTGGTTTAGTCGCGGCACTTGTTGATCAAATATCATCTGTCAAGATGGATGTCGTTGAAATGCTGAGGGCGTGCTCACAGGTGAATCTACTATGAAAGTAAACCCAAATATAAACACGTTCACACTCCTCGTAATCAGCTTCTCAGTGTGTGAAAGATGCGAGGGCTTCGGGGTGGACAGAACACCAGTATCACAACTCTCAATAGACGCAGATCCAATAGTCGCGGAGACGAAGTCGACGACAAGAATTTATATATAGCAAACAATGGTGTCTCAACCAATATCTTCTATATGAACACAACCAACACTAATCCAATCCACAACAACAATATAACAAGTCAGAACTTAATACGAAGTATTAAGGTCCCTTGTAGCGACAGCGTCTAGATGGTGACGCAAAGCCCAAATATCAAGTCGACGCACTGCCAACCGATACAACCAATGTACTGAGTCGATGCACTGCCAACTAGTAAACCAGAATGTCAAGTCGACGCACTGCCAACTGACACAACCAAAAGTACTGAGTCGACGCACTGCCAACTAGTAAACCAAAATGCCGCGTCGATGCACTGCCAACTAACAGCCAATATCCAATGTCCAAAACCCGAGCACAACTTGTCGACGCACTGCCAAGCAAGAAGTGTGGAACCAAAGTTCTCAAGTCGACGCACTGCCAACTGACCAAAACAACCCGAGCACAACTAGTCGACGCACTGCCAAGCTAGAGGTGTGGAAACGATCTCAACAAAGCCCGAAGGCGACGACACTAAATGCCGCGACTAAACCAGATGCGGCGAATCCGACTTTCTGATGTCTCAACTCAAACTCAAATCACAGTAGCTACAAGTGCTCGGGGAGCAACTCGTTGCGACCGGGCAGGGGTAGCAGAACTTCTTAGGGTGGAATCACGCGACACGCAAATTGTACAACACAATCTGATATGAGAGTGATTCACAGTCCGGGGGAAAGCTCCCCAATACAAAGAAACGACGTGCTACTTATACTGTCTACGACGATGCTTAGTAAAGTCCTGTACAACTGCATAGTAGCTATGCTATCTAAGATCGGTTGCCTTTTAGGGTAATTGAAAAGTTGAACGATCGGACAGGACCTGAGTGATCAGGACCCCGCCCCATGGTCCATATGATACTTTTGATGTGGGTCAACCCACCGCGTCATACTTTTGGAATACGACGTGCTGGATTGGCCAACGGGTATGTCTTGGCAGGTGAGTCCAACATGGGCGCCCCAAGAAGCCGTATGGCCCTAGGCACGCCAGTCGTCCCTCACATGGTTCGGTTCACGGATCTAGCCGTGTTGATTTTAGTGTGTTTGGGTATGGGCGCGACTCGCCGTGACACTTGGAAGTGTCACCGCGACGCGTCCACAATGTCCCGTGATCGAATGGATCCTGACATGTGACAAGTCGTCGTTGTGGCATGATCTGAGGAAACGTCCAACTCAAAACCGGGAGTTGCCGCGACAAGATTGGTTCAATCTCGTAACGCCAAGTCCTGTCCAGTAGTAGTCGTATTATTGAGAACGTCGCACATTGCTCAGCCCTTCAGCCCAAGTTCCCATCTGCAGAGAATGACCCTTTTGAGAAGTCGACGCAACGAAAGATCCCTTCTTGGGGAATGGTCGCGGTCCAAGCGTTCGTCACTAATGGCCCTGAGCCTGGTATAGACTCGTAAGACCAGTTCCACAGTAGTGGTCTGACTGCCTTGCTATCGTCGACACTATCCACAGTCGTTGACTGGGCAGTAGACCCTTAAGTCCTACTGAGCGCAACACTGTCAACCGCGACACGATACACCGAGTGGTTCAAGAGTAAACTCTGTAAAAAGCGCAAAAATACGCCCTTACAGAGCTGGTGCAGAGCGCGTCT